CACACCAAACACCTTTGTCAAGACCCCCCCCCCCACACTTTTTTTTTAAAAATGAAAAATATAAAAACCGCCACAACGAAATGTTACTATTTAAGCAAGACCAATCATTGTTTAATGCTTATAGGCGTAAGTAAGGCTGTGAACAAATATAACTAAAGTATAGTCTTAGTTTTGAACCCTTGATGGACCCGATAATTTTAGTTCTGGTGTATGCCTAAATGTCATTGGTATCTATGTGCTGTTTATAAATAGGCGCATATAATATACACATTACATCAAATACATGGCAATTATGAAGTAGCTAATGGAATATAAGCGTGTAGGTCTAGAAAGGAATTTGAACATTTCATAAGTTTGAAAAAAATTGGGTTTATATGTTCTAGTCTATAAATATATTATTTTACCAAGTAATATATGCATGTAGTGTAGTGACGGCATCAGTTAAAATGATGTCACCAGGGGCTTCATTTCAGGGATTTTTTTCGGGGGGGGGGGGGGGGCAAAACTTGTTCGGCTTGTTAAGTTGTTTCTTACTGGAGGGGGCCACAGTACATAATAATTTAAATATAACCTGTAAATGCGGAAGGGGGGGTGGGATGGCATGCCCCACCCAGCCCTACCCAAAATGACGTCCCTGGATGTCACCTGGACACTTGATTCCCACACATGTCTTCAAAAGGTGACCATTACTTGGGTTAACACCTTCCATTTGTAGGCCTACTCTCAATCTCCACACATTTTTTTTCCCTACCTGTCTTAAAGGCCAAGTTCATTTACTCAATAAACATAACACTGCAGTTGCAAAAGCGTTAAAGGCACAATAACTATTAGAAATAAATGTAATTTCAACATTACACTGGCTAGTACTAGTACGAGATAAAGCGGCTCGGAAAAGCTAAGTCATGGTTGTGAAGTAGAACGTCGACTATCCAAAAGGTCTGTTAGCCGAACTGCCCCTGTTCTATATTTTTAAAATAATTTTTTTTACATTAATTATATTGTGTAAAGCGTGGAACAATGGCGTACGAATACATGAAAGAAGTTCCGAGTCTTGCCGCCCATTACAAATAAAATCTATGCAATAGATTGTTTCCTTAAACATTGGTTTTGTATAGTAAATGTTTCTTCCAAATCTGAGTTCTCTGACTTCATTATACGGTAGCCAAAAAAGATACAAACAAATTATTATAGTACCAAAAGAGTAATAATTGGATCACAGTTTTTAGAAATAAATACAAAGCTAAAAAGGGAGTGGGGGTGGGGAGAGAAATAAATCACCCAAAAAAGTATAGCTTTTTTCCTACAAATAATAGAAAGATTATCTGTGTGTCAATGGAAAGCTTAAAGTCAGCTCTTTCCAATGATTATGCTCTTTATGTATGTCAGATAACATGTATTTGAAAATTTGAGTTAGAGTGCCTACTATGAGAGGTTTTTTTTTTTTTTTTTTTCGTTTTCCGAACCACCCTCGGGCTCAAACAGTTCGAATAACCGAGTTTCTACATTATCATGAGTTGGTGTCGCACCTTCTATACGGTCTAGTAAACCTCTCCTTTATGTATGTCAGATAACATGTATTTGAAAATTTGAGTTAGAGTGCCTACTATGAGAGGTTTTTTTTTTTTTTTTCGTTTTCCGAACCACCCTCGGGCTCAAACAGTTCGAATAACCGAGTTTCTACATTATCATGAGTTGGTGTAGCAACTTCTATACGGTCTAGTAAACCTCTCCAGATCAATAATACTGAGTTATTTTCAAGCATATAACACATAATTAGGCTTGACTGTTCCAGCCTAAACCTAGGAGTTGATGTCCCCCCCACAAGAAAACTTTGCCATTATAATCATACAGTGTATGGCGTTGGCCTACACAAAGGATCGTCTGACAGTGCTTGTACTTATTTCATATGTCATACATGTACCAGGAGTAGTGAGGACACTGTTATTTAAGGATAGAGGAGTCGTTGACTTGTACCCTGTTATACAAATGTTCATAGGCCCTACATTTTTAAAATGTCTTCATTAACATGCTAATTTATAGGTAATTAGTCACAAGGCAATAATAGTCCATAGCAGTCAATATGTTCAGATAATTATAAAATGCATTGTTATGTTACTTTTTAAGAGTGTGCGGGACTTGAATCAAACAAATCTTAAGGGATGTGAGTAAAAGAAAAGTTTGAGAAACACTGATATTAATAGTCTATTGGAATACACATATGTATATATATAATATAATACACATAATATATGTACCCCCAGTCTAGTAAACATGTCCTAAAAAATATCCAAGTCCTAGAAAGCGGTTTATACAATAATTAATATTTATTACATTTTTTCCTCAAGCTCTGCTTTCTTAGATAATGAGTTCATACATTCATAGGTTTGTACATTCATGTGTTTATACATTCATGGGTTGTACATTCATGTGTTTA